GCAGAAAACAGATCATAGCATAATCATCCTCATATCAGAACATAATAATGGTACATCCTATAGAACACATCACAGAACGCCTTCCGACTAGAGTAATCGGTTCGGGATACCGGTTAAACACATATCACCACAATGAAGTAGCTAACGAGATCTCGTAATTACTTGTATGCGATGGACCCGCATTTTCATGTCGTCCCCCATGACTTGGGACTATCTATGGATGCCATAATAGATTTCAAACATGGAATATTCGTTCACGAAAACAGATATCATTTCAAAAATCATAGCTTATCACATTTCATTTGGAACATAATTTCATATGAACGTATATTTACGATAACGTTACTCACAGTGGTTCCAGTAGGTGGTCAATCAATTCTTGGACGTTGACCTACAAACACAAAGGCACATAACACAAACGTATCTTATCATTACACAAGTACTTGGCAAACACGACTTAGCTTACATTCCGTTGGTCTTGTTAATTCTTATCCCATAGATGAAAACACACTCTTGAATCTCGTAACTTAGTACATTCTTTACTTAGTGTGTTTCTAATCCATAACATCATTAATATGGCTTAATTAAGGCTTTAGAAATGCCTAAGATGCAATGAGAATGCCAAAACATGCCTTGGAACACTTAGACCAAATTTTTGAAAATAAGGTCCACGCTCGAGCAGACATGCAAAATGAGGATAGTCGCTCAAACGCACATTCCTTCGCTCGAGCGATCTGTAAACGGACATGAAACTTCTAGGAGCTTGCAATTCACGCTTGAGCGGACTTTTGGTCGCTTGAGCGTGGATGCAAATTCTGGAATTTCCAGATTTGATCACTAAGCTCAAAACTCGAATTCAATCTTCCAAAACACATCTCTTGGGCCCCAAAACTTGAGATAATATAGTAAACTTGTAAAACATGAAGAATTTAGGATCATTTCACAAAATCATGGCCCAAGATTTTGTCAAAAGCTCACATTTCATTTTGAAATTTAAGAAACAAAGCATGCATATAAAATCTTTCAAACTTTTTTCTTCAAAACTCAAGAAACTATCAAGTTGAGCTCATAAGCCCCATGCATGTAATTCAAAACATGAATTTCAATGATTAAACATGGTGATTCTAACATGCATGCACCAAATAACTCCCAAAACAAGTTAGATGCTCAAAATCAAACTCAAATGACAACCTCTACATATATATATACACATGCAAGTGGAAGTATAGTCAAATCCTCCATCCTCTTCACAACCATATGTAAATTACATGCAAATGATCCTAACAACTCCATGAATGCATCTATATAACACTGTTTCTTCATGAATTATGGGTTAGATGCTCACCAAAAGTCCTCAATTAAAAAAAATTCTTCACTTCTTCCTTGAATCCACACTCTCTCTCTCTAAAATGGAGTCTCACTCTCACTCTAGAATGTATTCTCAGATTTTTGCACTAAGGGGTAAAAGGAATGAGCTCAAAATGAGTTTAAGGCCCATAAATAAAGCTATGATGTCAAAATGCATCAATTGGATTATTAAGCTAGCCAAACGCAACTTAACGAATCAGACTAAATCAATTTTTAATAAAACCTGCCAAATGATTCTAAAAATTCCAAATAACACATTGGTGCAGTCAATTTCGGTTTCGGATGCCGATAAGGCTTTTAATTTTCATATCAAAGCGAAATTCTAAACAGATATTTCTACAAGTAACAGATAGAAAGTCAAAATCATGCAAACTACGGAATGAACACATAATTTATTTTAATCCTCTCATTAACATCCTTAAATACAGATTAGTAGCTAATTACGGATCGAGGTTATTACAGATTCACTTTAAAATAAAACAATAATAAATATGATATATATCACTATCACAACATTCACTAAATTTTTTTTAAAAAGAAGATGGAAAAATAAAATAAAAAAACTTAATTTTTTGTGTTAGTTAAACCAAAGAAGACGATTGTTATTTTTTTTAAAAAAAGACATTAACAAAATATCTGTATTATTTTATTATTTTATGTGTAAAAAGATTAAGGGGTAAATATATCATTTTAATCTGATAAGAGAATAAGTGTAATTTTTCAAATTTGAAGAAAAATCTGTATTAAATAAAAATCTTGATGAATGTTAGTGTAATTTACCCAAATAAGTACTATATAAATTAAGCCTCCGTTTGGGAAGTGAGTTGGCTTTTTGACTTTTTAGTTTTTTTGACTATATGAGCCTGGGCTCAAAAACTTGGTTTGGAAAGGACTTTTGACTTTTTGGCTTTTTTGATTTTTTTGTGAGAGAAGAGTGTAATGATTATGAGGTTGTATGGGATGTTTTGTCTGTTGTGACTCATGAGCCTATTCTGTCTTTTATGGCTCATTGAGCCAAAAAAAGCCCAATGAGCCCTTGCCAAACCAACCCTAAAATTTCAAGAAAGTTTAATGCAATTTTGTCCAAACACAAAAATTATTGTTTTATCTAAACTTCAAAGAAGATCAGTGTAATGTATCCTTTTTTTTTAAGGATAGTTTTGGGAACAAAAATTTTTTTTGTCGAAACATAATAATTTTTTAATTTTTTTTAATCTAAAATATGAGTTGAAAAGACAAATAGCAAATAGTTTTTAAAATATTATTTAATATTAAAATTTATGTAAAAAATATTTATTTTTTCTCCATATAAAAATACAAAAAATTATCACATAGATCTATTCTATATCTTACGTGGTATATTTTTACAATTCTATTAATTATATATATATACTTGTTATTTTTTATTTTTTTCTTATATATTATGTAAAATAATCAATAGAATTAAAAGTCATACAACCTAATTAAAATTTTTAACACTAGAAATACCCTTTAAAAAACAAACAGCAACAAAGCCGGGAAAAAAATAACCAAATACTAAAAAAAAAGCGAACAACGCAATCCACGTCAACGATCTGCGCACCGCAAAGAAGACCAACCGTCGATTTATACCATATCAACGTACGAAAATCAAGCAGACAACAACACACGGATCGACTCTCTTCACCATCGATCAAAGGCCCAGAACTCCAAACAAAGCCTTCCCTATATAAGCCATCACAACCTCTCCTCCATATCATATCTTATCATCAAAATCTCTTCATATTTGAGTTGACTCATCAATCAATCTTTGTCGCAATGTCTGGTCGTGGAAAGGGTGGTAAGGGTTTAGGCAAGGGTGGAGCAAAGCGGCACCGCAAGGTCCTCCGAGACAACATTCAGGGGATCACGAAGCCGGCGATTCGGAGACTGGCGAGAAGAGGAGGTGTTAAGAGGATTAGCGGTCTGATCTATGAGGAGACTCGAGGAGTGTTGAAGATCTTCTTGGAGAATGTGATTCGTGATGCTGTCACCTACACAGAGCACGCTAGGAGGAAGACTGTCACGGCCATGGATGTTGTCTATGCTCTTAAGAGGCAAGGGAGGACTCTGTACGGTTTTGGAGGTTGAGGCTTTGGGTTTTGTTTAGGTCTGTGCTTATGTAATAGAATTAATGACTCTACATTTCAATATAATGCATTTCAGGCTTTGCTACGGCATTTCTCTCTATGTTTGTTGTTGTGTTGTGTCTCTAATCTAATACTATGATTTTCATTTTGATTGCCTGTATTGTATGTCAGATTTTGTTTATTTATTGTCAATTCCATATGTTTTACAACTTATTTCCCAAATTCAAGCAGTTTTTGAATTTATCTCCCAAACTCAAATCCATGTTTTGTAAACTTGTGTTATAAAAATATTAAAACACACAGTTTCAATTAGTTTATTGTAAAATTTATGAAATTGTCTTTTGAAAACACAACTTCAAGTAATAATATGAGCTTTGGAAATAATTTTAAAAAATGCTTAAATTTGGTAAGTAATGCCAGTATTGCAGGTTGAATGTTGTGAATGAAAGTCTCTCTTGTTGGGTTTTGCTGTGATGTTTGTGTTTTCAGTGGCTAGTAAAGTGTAAAGACTAGAAAGAAAACCTGGGTTGAATTGAAGGCATGGTTTTGCAATTGGGTTTGTTTTTTTTGATACTCTTTTGCACTGGGATTTGGTTTTGGTCTTGTTTTATTGTGGTTTAAGAGGATCTGATTATCAGTTATGTGTTACAATAGAAGCATTTAGCTCTTGTTTATTTGAAATGTTTTTCTTTGCCCATATAGGTTTACGGGCTGAGTTTTGGCATTGCTTGGTCTGGTTAATTATCAGCTGGATTTGGGCAAGTAATATCACTGACATGGTAATTTCCATAACTGCTACAGTGCTACTCCTGTAGAATGTTGGTTTGATGGCTTATGCCTAGGTTCTATATGTTAATGTACACTAAACCTAACCCACTAACCTAACCCACTACATCCACCCCACTAAACCTAACACACTTACCATCTCCACTACCACCCACCACCTCCACTACCATCCACTACCACCACTCACTTACCTCACACCTCTCCTATATAATAGCTTGTAACATACAAATCAATATACAACAATCTTGTAATATACACATAAATCAATAATACAATTCTCTTTTTACATTGTTTACTTACAACCTCTCTGCTTCTCCGAGAGCTTCGAACCTCTGCTTACTCCCATCCATGGCGAAATCAGAGAGAATGAGGGATTGCAGGAGAGAGAGAGCGAGGTCGTCTCTCCTCATCGTATGCATCTCGCGTTTTCCAGATCTGTTTTTGCCAAACTTTCCATTGCCATTTGCTTGAATTCGAACATTAACAACCACCGTCGGATCCGCCGACGTGGCCAAACACACGTCCGCCATCTTGAAATCATAGCCGTCGATCTCCACAGCATCCGCGCGCGAAAACACGAACGGCGATTGCGTGGTGAGGTCGTAGCAGGGGATCAAAACCGCCTTCACCGTGTCCTTCAACGTGGACTCTCCGAAAACTTTCCGAAACATCTTCTTCTCGATCATCACAGTCGTCTCTCTCTGCATCTAGTTGATCTGTGTTGTTTGTGGATCCAAAATGTCAAACAAATCACCATCTAGTTATGGAACCTCCCCCACCACCGCCACCAGCAGCAGACGGCCGCCGCTTCCGCCGCCGCCACCACCGTCAACCTTCATCTCTCGCGCCACAGCCCAGACTCAATCCCTACTGGCCACGGGCCGCCCATGGACAGAGCTCTTCGACTTCTCCTCCTTCTGTCGTCTCTACAGTCTCACTCTCTCTCACTCTCTGTCGTCTCTACAGTCTCACTTCTCCTCATCTTGCATTTTTTTTTTTATTAACCTCTCTCTCTCTCCCTCTTTTTCTTGTGACCCACACTCACACACACCCACGGGATTTCTAATGCCAACATGTTTTTAATCATCACACACATACACCAGCACATACACAACCCACACAACAGAATCCCTTTCTTTTCTTTTCTTTATTCTCCACTCACAAAACATTATCATCACTTTTACGCCTCACCCACGTTGCTCCACTTTCTTTCTTTTATTTTATTTTATTTTTATTTATTTATTTATTTTCTTAAATTAAAAAAAAAATGAAAAATGATCAAATAATCTTTTGTTCATTTATCTTATCCAGTCCATCTAACCAATAGTTCTTTCTAGACATTTAATACCATGAAAAAACAAATACGGGATACACATCTAATCCAACCAAATAGTCTGGGGTATTCACAATCCCAAGATTCAAGTTTAATGGATTATAATCTCTCCTTATCCAGTCCATCCAACGGTGTGTTTGATTGGGGGATAAGGGGTGACTATTTACTGTACAGATTGTAATCCATAGGAAGCATCTAATTCGGCATTTGTTTTTTAGTCCGCCGAACATGGAGTCTTGTCGGACTTCTTATTCTCCATATGAGGGATTACACTATCTTGGGGAGGGTGTGGGACAATTTCATGCGATTATTTACCATTGGTATTAGGTGATGAAATGACAATTATGTATTATATTTAGTAAAATTTAAATGTCTCAGTTTAAAAATAAAATAATTTTATTTAACTTTTTATTGATGTTTTATTTATTTAATTTTTGAAAATAATTTTTTATAAATATTTTATTTTAAAATTTTGTTTATATTTTATTTAATTTCATTATTTAAATTTTAATAGATGTTTTATTTAATTTTATTATTTAATTATTATTATTTTTTAAAATAAATTTATTTAAAATTTTAATTTAAAAAATAACATATATTTTTTTATTGATATTTTATTTATTTAATTTTTAAAAAACAAATTTATTTAATTGTGTAAAAAATAAAATAAAATAAATTTTTATTTAATCTAGCTAAAAATAATTAAAATATTAAAGATATGTTTAATATTGCTATTACTCAATAAATAATTGAAAACGGATAAAATAGTCTTTTGCTCATTTATCCTATTCAGTCCGTCCAATCAAATATTGGATTCACTAAAAATAGTCGTTTCCAGATATGTCCTCATTATTTAATTCAAAAATTTGCCTCATTTTTTAATTTGAAAGTAGACAGGTTTCTATTTGTTCCATTTTTGTTTTTTGAAATGATTTAAAAGTGGACAGATAGGCATATATATCTCCATTTTAATTTTTTTAATTTGAAAGTGGACATATATGTCTATCTGCTCCATGTTTTTATATTTAAAAGTGTACAAATATACATATTTATTCTCATTTTTTAATTTTAAACTTGTGAAAAACTTTGGAAATTACAATACCATCTACCTTGTGTGCATTTATCAATTATTATGCTGTTTGTTATTTTTTTTTATTCTTGACTGTTGGCTGATGTTTTATGAGAAAAGCCTTGCATTTATCTGTTCTTGAGTGATTGCATAAATAAGAGTCAAGTCAACATATATTTAGCATAATTTTAAATAGAAGCCTGATATGTATTGGCGCATGGTTAAAGTCAACGTGTGTGTTTGAATACACACACATACACATATATATACATATATAATTAGGCAATGGCGTACATAGAGAAGATTACTTACATATTAATATATGTCACCATAGTCTTATGAAGAAATAATTCTTTACTTTCTTGAACATTATCTTGGGCAAAACCTTGTGTAAGTCAACTACTTCCTTTTTCTTCAAGTATTTAAACTAATAAGAAATTACATATTACTGTAATAGCCAATTGTTAAACAAAACCTGATATAGAGAAACACACTACAGGAAGAAATCTGAACTTATAGCATATTCTATTGCCCCTAATCAACCCACTCTTGCATTTAAAACCTATTTTTGATGGTATGTTGCTTGTATATGAACTGCCTATTATTTCCTTCCCCATTGACATACAATAATTAGCCTGAATCGTTCAACTGGACCGATATAAAACATACACCAACAAAAAATATGAAAGGAGAAGGAAGAAAAGGAACATCAGAAGGAAGTTTTAGTGTGAACTTGTCCAAAATTAGTCCACTTTAGTATGACTTTACAATTATCTATTCAAGTAACAACATCTATGGTTGTTGCCGAGTCAGTTTAAGTTCATGTGGACATTCTTTACACATCAAGAAACAATACCTTAGCCATGAAATATATGTTTGCTTCCTTTCTCCTTTTTCTTCTCTGCAAGTTGTCTTTTGTTAATGGTTGCCATGATTATGAAAGAGCAGCACTCTTAAACTTTAAATCCTTTCTTACAGATCCTTCGAAACGGTTGTCATCGTGGCAAGCCCAAAACTGCTGCAACTGGGATGGAATACTCTGTTCAAACTCAGGATATGTCATAGCTGTCAATCTCCGCAACCCTGTTCCAGATAATGCCTTACTCAACTTGAATTCAGAATTTGTTTCTACGGCGAACTCATCCACTGCCATCAAAGGTACAATCTCTTCATCTCTTTTCACCCTTAGCCATGTCCGCTACCTTGACCTCAGCTTCAACAATTTTTTGTTTTCAAAAATACCCACTGGATTGTCAAATCTCACAAGACTCACTTACCTTAACCTCTCAAATGCTGTGTTTAAAGACTCCATCACAACCCAATTTGCGAACCTGACTTCCCTAAAATGGCTTGATCTCTCATGTTCTGGCGAAATACCCGACTTGTCATCTGTGTCATATTACTTAGGATCCTCACTGAGGATGAACTTGGGATCGTTGTCTTCCTTCATCTATCGTGGCAATTTGTCTTCCTCAAATTTGAATTGGTTGAAGGGTCTCCGCAATCTCAGGGAACTAAGATTGGGTGGTGTCAATCTATTTGTGGCTTCTCAATTGATCAAATGGGCTGATCCATTAACATTTCTTCCCAATCTTGGGTCACTTGAATTGTCCAATTGCAGAATTTTCGGAACAATTCCTCTAGATCAGCTTCTGAACCTCACTCATCTCTATTCATTGACAATGAATACCAATTCTCTCACCTCCCTAATACCAAATCAGCTTGGAAACCTAACTTCCCTTTCAATCCTTGACTTGAAAAGTTGTAATCTACATGGTTCAATCCCTTACCTACCTCAACTGAAAGAACTTTATGTGGGTAACAACCTCGCTGTTATCGTTGATCTGAATTCAGTGTTTTCAGTTCCCTGGACCCATTTAGAAAGACTCGAAATTCAATTAACTCAAGTTATTGGATCAATTCCACCTTCTTTCGGCAACACTACTTCACTGGTTCACTTTATAGCCGATAGTTGTTCAATTCAAGGGCCCTTACCTTCTTCCATCACAAACCTTTTTAAGTTACAAAGATTACAGCTTGATTTTAACAACATAACTGGGCATCTTCCACTATCAATATCCGAACTAAAAAGCCTCCAGTTTCTGTATTTAGCTGGGAACTACTTAGAAGGATCGATTCCAAATTCAATTTGTGATGCCTCCTCTATCCAGGAGCTTAATCTGGATGTCAACCTACTAACAGGAAGTTTACCCAGCTGCATTAGCCGGCTTCCCAACCTCCTTTCTCTTTGCATCGCCGGTAACAAGTTAAATGGAACCATTCCTTCATTGGCATATTTGTTTCAAAATTCCACCCCAAATACATTAAGTTTTGGTTCCAGTGGATTAACAGTGAAAATAGACCAATCCCCATTTCCATCCAACTTCCAACCCCAAATGTTGGAACTTGCTTCTTGCAACATCGGAGGAGGCATCCCTGATTTCATTTCAAATCTGACCCGGCTTTCATATCTGAGCCTATCTAACAACCAACTATTCGGACCAATCCCACATTGGTTGTTCAGCAACTTACCAAGACTAAGCTATTTGGATCTCTCCATGAACCAACTCCATGGGGTTATCCCACTAAGTATTCGACTACACTCACAATTTTTGTGGCCGACCACATTAAATCTAGCAAGCAACAACCTTGAAGGGCCTCTTCCTCGACTAAATCTTCAGAATGTACAAGTCGTTGATTTATCCGGGAACAAATTCACAGGTTTTATACCAACGCAGCTAGGAGAACTTCAGAGCCTCAGGTACTTATCACTCTCTGGGAACAAACTCTTTGGCGAAATCCCACTCTCGTTCTGTCACCCAACGAATTCTCTGATGCTTCTTGATCTTTCGAATAACAACTTGTCAGGGAGAGTTCCAACTAGCTTGGGAAACTGTACATCTCTCATATCACTTAACCTTGGACAAAACAACTTCACCAGAGAGATTCAAACTAATGGTCTTGGGAACGCCGAGAATCTGAGTTATATTGATTTAAATGGCAACAATTTTGAAGGCCCTTTTCCAAGCTTCATCCAGAGATTTCAAAGTATTGAGGTTTTAATTTTGGGAAACAATAGATTTGAAGGAAAGGTTCCCCAGTTCATTGGAGACCTCCAGAATCTCCGAATTCTTGTCCTAGCATCCAACTTCTTCAATGAATCAATCCCACAAGAGATGATGAACAATTTATCAAAACTCCAATACATAGACTTCTCAAATAATGAACTCTCTGGTCCTATCCCTGAGAAACTGGACGGTTTGAAGATTCTGAGAACTCGACCCATTGATGGAATTGTTCTAGGCTATGTCGTGTCGCTCATGTTTGCTGGTGTTCAACTTGACATAGTGTCTAAAGGATTTTCACACCAACTTGAAGTTGTACACACCTACAATAGTGGCATAAATCTCTCAGGCAACAATCTCACAGGAAATATTCCAGCCGAAATAGGCCTTTTACAGGGTCTATACATGCTTAACCTTTCGCATAACGATTTGTTTGGTGACATCCCAAGGACGGTTGGTGAAATGAGCGGCTTAGAATCATTGGATTTGAGTTTTAACTGTTTGAGCGGGGAAATTCCAGCGACATTAACATTGCTTGATTTTCTGTCATATCTCAACTTGTCGTTCAACAATTTGAGTGGGGAGATTCCAAGAGGGGCACACTTTGATACCCTTTCTGGAGATGGATCAGCGTATGTTGGGAATGAGTTCCTGTGTGGTGCTCCTGTTGGGGTGAATTGTAGTAGCAATGACAACTCTACAAATAGTACTGAAACAGATGATGAGGAAAAATGGTACTACTTTTATGGGATTGTTAGTATTGGCTATGGAGTTGGGCTACTTGGGTTCTCTCTACTCCCCTATCTGATGAGAGGGAAATTTGTAGAGTGGTATTGGAGTGCCATTGACAACATTGTATTGAGAATCATTCAATGTTTTAGATAGAGAAAGATAGTACTTTGAAGTTGGGGTGGTAGCTACAAGCTTAAGTTTAAAAAAATAAATAAATAAATAAAAATATTCTTGTGTTGAAGCCCAACTCGGTCCAATATTATGCTTAAAAGTTCAATTACAAGTCTGGACCTTAAATTGCATCACAATTCCAAGCCTACCCAATAAATTAATATATTTAATAAAATAAAATAAATTGTTGTGTTTGGGTTAGCGGTAGAATCATAATTCCATCCCCCTATTTTAGTGCTGTGTTTGAATTTAGTTTTCTAAAATTGATTTCACACTCACATTTGAAAATTTATTTTAGAACATGTTTAGCAGAGTAAGTTTTTGAATTTTAAAATTGGGTCTACCTAGTTATCTGCCCGAATATCCTCCCGAACAATTTTTGAATTTTTGGGTGTACCCTATTATCCATCCGGACATTCTCTCGGATGTCTGACGGTTGACTGGAATAATATTTTTTTTTCCCCTCTTTTTTTGGCAGTTGCCATATGCTATTTGCATGTTTTTTATATGTTTAAAATATAAAAATTATTTTTTTAGACCAAAATGACAAATTAGTTGGCCATTTATTTAAAATTAACAAAAAAAAAATTAATTTGTCACAATAATTTTTTAAAAATAAGAAAAAACATTTTCAAACAAAACAATTAACAAAAAAATTCCAGTCAAATATACAATTAAAAATAATTTTAAAGCACTAGCTGAATATTTTTTTTAATAACAAATAATATATATTTTTTCATATTTTAAATAAAAAATATTTTTGGAATGTTTTGAATTTTTTAAATAAAAAATTTATTTTTTGCAATAATTATTTTTTTGAATTGAATTTTTAAAAAAGTTTGGTTATGAGTTTTGAATAGATTTTTCAATAGAGTTTTTTGAGTTATGTATTTGATTATGAGTTATAAGTTTTTGGATTAAGTTAAAAAATTCTTTTCAAAATTCATAACCAAATAATCTTTTTTATTATTTTAAAACTCATTTCAAAAATTCAAAACTCAAATTTTCAAAATTCATAACTAAACAAATTTTCTCTTCTCAAATTATGATTTTACAACTCACAAACTCGAAAAATAATTTCATTCTCAAATCATGATTTTAAAACTAAATCAAATGCTACTAATATTTTTTTAAACAAATATTTATTTTTTGTTTGTTATATCATAAGTTTAAGGCTAGATGGGTGTATTTTATTTATTTTAAAAAAAAATAGAACTGAATAAATTATATAATATAAAAAAGATTTTGTTAATGTGACTCGTGCTAAGAAATTTAAAATGTTCGTATGTAAAAATATAAAAACATGTATAATATTTTACAAACATTTGAAGTTTCTCAACAAGACATGCATAGTTTACTAATGGGGTGTATGTTCACCCGATGGGTGTATTCTGGTGCTGATAGTAGAGGTGCTTGTAGTGGAAGCTGACTTTAAGGTTAGGGTTAGTGGAAGATTGACGAAGATGAGGATATTTTGGGGGTTTTGGTGGTGTGAATTGGGGAAGAACAAAAAGACAAACAAATGAACAAGACAAAATTTGTGTGGTGTGAGAGAGTTGGTAGTTTGGCAACTGAGGTTCACATAATAATATTGTGGGTATTTGGAAAGTTGCTATTTTAATATGTTATTTTAGTTTTAGCCTTCGTTTGAAAAGTGGGTTGGCTTTTTTTATTTTTTTAGCTATTTTAGCATGGGCTAAGAAGCTTGGTTTGGGAAGGATTTTTTGGCTTTTTGATTTTTTTGACTTTTTTTATGAGGGAAGAGTTGAATGATTATGGGTTGGATGTAATATTTTGTTTGTTGTGACTAAAATAATATATTTGTCTTTTGTGGCTAAAATAGCCCCAAACCTCCTTGTCAAACTATTTTAGTAAGTTAAAATTTTTATATTTGAAAAGATGATGATATTTTTTTTGTTGGATGTGATGTTTGTGAGGGGAAAAATAAAATGATTATAGATTTGATAAGATATTTTGTCTCATTAACTATTTTAATTTATTTTATTTTTTTGTGAATTGTATTCACAAAAAAAAAAAAAAAAAAAAAAAAAAAAAAAAAAAAAAAAACAAAAAAAAAAAAAAAAAAAAAAAAAAAAAAAAAAAAAAAAAAAAAAAAACACATTATAATCTTAACAATCACCCATTACATGTTCATCATCCAAGCACATAATAAAAATTAATTTTGTAAAATAAATAAATAAATAGATGTCTAAAAAATTTATCAAGTTTACATAATTTTATCTTTCATTTCTTACTCTTTTTTATATTTTAAATTTTTTTTAAACATTTTGTCAATTACCAAACGCGTTTGTAGTTTATGTTTTTCTAAAAATAAACAAAAAATAAATAAAACCAGTTTATAAAATTTTTGTAAATATAAATTGAGAACATAAATATTACCAAACATACCCAAAATGTTCGCATGTAAAAATATAAAAACATGTATAATATTTTACAGACATTTGAAGTTTCTCAACAAGACATACATAGTTTACTAACGGGGTGTATGTTCACCCGATAGGTATATTCTGGTGCTGATAGTAGAGGTGCTTGTAGTGGAAGCTGACTTTAAGGTTAGGGTTAGTGGAAGATTGACGAAGATGAGGATATTTTGGGGGGTTTTGGTGGTGTGAATTGGGAAGAACAAAAAGACAAACAAATGAACAAGACAAAATTTGTGTGGTGTGAGAGAGTTGGTAGTTTGGAAACTGAGGTTCACATAATAATATTGTGGGTATTTGGAAAGTTGCTATTTTAATATGTTATTTTAGTTTTACCCTCTGTTTGGAAAGTGGGTTGGTTTTTTTTTTATTTTTTTGGCTATTTTAGCCTGGGCTAAAAAGCTTGGTTTGGGAAGGATTTTTCGGCTTTTTGATTTTTTTGACTTTTTTTATGAGAGAAGAGTTGAATGATTATGGGTTGGATGTAATATTTTGTTTGTTGTGACTAAAATAATATATTTTATTTTTTGTGGCTAAAATAGCCCCAAAACCTCCTTGCCAAACTATTTTAGTAAGTTAAAATTTTTATATTTGAAAAGATGATGATATTTTTTTTGTTGGATGTGATGTTTGTGAGAGGAAAAATAAAATGATTATAGATTTGATAAGATATTTTGTCTTATTAACTATTTTAATTTATTTTATTTTTTTGTGAATTGTAGTAAAAAAAAAAAAAAAAAAACCCAAATTCAACTTGCCAAACAGGATATTGCAAAAAAATCCATACTACTCCCCGATCTAATAAGGGAAAGCAGTAAATTCATGAGACCAAACCTCTCAAAATTTTATAAAGAAGCCAAAAAACAAAAACAAAATTATAGCATCTCTAACGGCTCCTTCAAATTTCTTCCTTGACTATTTTGAGGATATTAACGTAAAATCTTACTCTAATGGATCAAAAAGATTTAGTTAAATGACTATTTATTTTATTAATAGTGACAAGATGTTATATTTTAGCAAAGTAATTCTAATAATGTAAATGTTATCTCTCTAACCTTTTTTTTTTTTTTGCTGCAAAAATGTCAAATTAAATTGTTATATGTTGGTCCTACTATGGGAGATGTAGAGATGTCAAAACTTGTCAAAATTTACCTATAGCTAAATCTTATGTCAAATTTGGCATAAGATATATGTGAAAGAATTTGAAATAAAAAAAAAAAAAAATCAACACATTTCTGAGTTTTTTTTTTTCTTTTCAAAATTGCATACAGGCTTTACTTTTAGGTATATTTAAGTATGGGCGAATTACACTAACGATCTCTACAATTTGAGCCTTGTGTCACTTTGGTTCCTAACATTTTAATTGTAACACATTTGACCTTAAATTTTAAATCTTGATCCAAAGAAGGACAATTGAAGATACTATTGCTCAATTTTAAGGGCAAAATTGTCAATTTGATAAAATATAAACTAATTTGACAAAAATAAATGTCAAAAAAATATTTTTGAATTTTTAAAAATTATTTCTAGCCACTAAAAATAAAATTATGTAAAATTGATATATTTTTTAGACATTTATTTTCTTTTTTTTACCAAATTAATTTTTATTATGTGTTTGGATGATGACCATGTAATGGGTGATTGTTTTTATTTTCATTAAATTAGTTTTCATTTTTTCAAAAGTCAAATATAGTGATAACTTTGATATCATTATTAAATCAAAAAATCCAAAACTAAAAACATTTCATATGTTCAATAAATATCGATTACACATTACAAAGCCTAATAGCCACCCATTATATGATCATCATCCAAATACATAATAAAAATTAATTTGGTAAAATAAATAAATGTCTAAAAGATTTATCAATTTTACATAATTTTATCTTTGGTGTGTAAAAATTATTTTTAAATATTCAAAAATATTTTTTGACATTTATTTTTGTCAAATTAGTTTATATTTTATCAAATTAACAATTTTGTCCTTGAAATTGAGTAATGGTATCTACAATTGTCCTTATTTGAAACAAGATTCAAAATTCAAGATCAAACGTGTCACAATTGAAAAGTCAGGGATCTAAGTGACACGAGTCTCAAACTATAGGGACTGTTAGTGTAATTTGCCCTTTAAGTATATATATATATATATATATATTTTAAATATGAAGAAAAATATCACTAAAAACAAAAACATAACAATAAGAAGTTAGTATTCTTTTGGCATATGGCTTTTTTTGTGTTTTTTAGTTAAAATAGGAGTTAATTATCTAAAAGTCCTATTTAGGAATGTTATGTTAGCTCAGGTCCTATTCAAGAGTTTTGAACCAATAAGTCATATTTAGTAAAATTGAGAATATTATCAGTTTTTTTCAATTTTAAAATTAAAAACATTATCAATTTTGCATAATAAATATGTAAAAAATCAATGTATAAAGAGAAAAATACAGAGAGAATAAATGTATCTGATGATCTTATTATTGATTGATGTATTGATATCTATTACAAATGGTTCCTTATATAGATGTAGGTGTAGTGGAGTAGGTGGTGGTAGGTGAGTGTAGTAGGTGAGTGTGTGGTAGGTGATGGTAAGTGTGTGGTAGGTGATGGTAAATTTTAACAGCCCCCCGCAAACTCAAGAAGGATAGAAACTAACCAACTTGAGTTTGGAGAGAGTAACAAAACAAGAAAATACATAAAAAATAAAAGAGGATAGGAGACACTGTATGGTCGTGTCAGACCATTGGTGAAGACACTGAATGGTGGTGTCATAACGTTGTAGAGGACACTGGATGAAAGACTGTTTGGTTAAAATTAAAGCCAACAGCTTCAGCTTCTTTTTTTTTTTTTTTTTTTGAAAAGAAGAAAAAAAATAATAATAATAAATAAATAAATAAACAAAGTAGTAAAACTCTTCTCTCTCTCAGCATCACGTGGGTGGTGTAAAGAGAGTGGTTGTATTGGAAAGACAAAAGGCAGTGGAGAAAAATATTAAAAGAAAAAGAAAGGAAAAGAGAGGTCTGGAAAGTAAAAGAAAGGTCCAACCTTTTGCCTATCAATTAAGAGAGGGTGTTTTGAAAATAAAAAATAAAAAACATTCTAGGTAGTTGCACTGTTTAATATAGAGTAGAAGACTTTATTACCTGGACAAACAAGACAATGGGCAAACGAAAACCGCCAAATTCAGTGGGCGGTCTTAAATGAGGAAGAGCGATGGAGAGTTTGACCCAAAAAAAAAGGGATAAGCTCTGATAGTCCAACACCGGGTAGACGGATGGCAATCACTCTTGTTTTATCATCTTTGCAGGTGATACCGACCCAAGAGCTGCAGACAAAGATGTTAGAATTCCAGTTGAATTTTCGGATATGCGGAACAGCAGAAGCAAAGTCCAGAAGGGACTGTCTATCAGAGTTCAGGTCACCAATAATCAGGGGAATGATAGGCAGTAGGATAAAGATGAAAGTAACCACTTGAAAGGATTGGAGCTTCATGAGGAGCTTCAGTGTGGGGTATTTGCTAATCATATCAATGATTCGAATATGACCTCAGCAAACTCTGCTTCTACCAATTGCAACTTCTCGATGTTAAATTCTTCTTCTGCGGAGATCTCTGTCAAGCGAGGGACTTGAAGCGAGTTGGGCGTGAAGGTGGTGGACCCGAAGAAATTTCAAGGTATGTGTATGTGATATGTGTTGAAAAACTCCCGCGGGCAGCGAAGGCAAGGTTGCCGGCCGGCTGCCCGCCGGAAAGAAAGGAGTATAGGCCTAAATCTTATAGCTCTGATACCATGTAAAAAATGAATGTATAAAGAGAAAAATACAGATAGAATAAATGTATCTGATGATCTTATTATTGATTGATGTATTGATATCTATTACAAATGGTTCCTTATATAGATGTAGGTGTAGTGGAGTAGGTGGTGGTAGGTGAGTGTAGTAGGTGAGTGTGTGGTAGGTGATGGTAAGTGTGTGGTAGGTGATGGTAAATTTTAACAAAATATAATTGCTTCACTAACTGATAAAAAAACAGAGCATGAGATTAAACGTTTTTTTTTCCTTTTTATTTATTGGTTTGATTCAACTATCCAATAAAACTGAAAATATTATCAATTTTTTTCAGTTTTAAAATTAAAAATATTATTAATTTTTTCATTTTTAAAGTTTTAAAGTTTTTTTTCCCCCAATTTTTTGAGAATATTATCAGTTTTTTTCAATTTTAAAATTAAAAACATTATCAATTTTGCATAATAAATATAATTGCTTCACTAACTGATAAAAAAACAGAGCATGAGATTAAACGTTTTTTTTTCCTTTTTATTTATTGGTTTGATTCAACTATCCAATAAAACTGAAAATATTATCAATTTTTTTCAGTTTTAAAATTAAAAATATTATTAATTTTTTCATTTTTAAAGTTTTAAAGTTTTTTTTCCCCCAATTTTTCACATTAATTTTCCAACATCATGTTCCTTTATAGATACAAAATTTACAATTTTACACACAAAAAAAAAAAATCATTTTTTCAATTTTTACGCAAGTATTTGGTGATTAGTTTAGTGATTTATTTGTGTCGGTAACATTTTTGAGTCCGGATCCCCTCTTTAAGAAGTCTCCTCCATATCCTACTTGCAATGGCTGAGGCCTCGTTTGGGAACCATCTTTTTTAGTCAAAAAGTTACTAAATTAGCCAAAAAGCCAACAACCCATACCAAAAAGTCAAAGATTCTCTTTTCTCTCTACTTTTTGCACATCTTTTCGTAAAAAGCCAAAAAGTCATCCCAAACATACTAGTTTTTTTTAGCTCATATTTTAGCCAAATAGCCAAAAAATTACTAAATTAGCCTGTTCCCAAACGAGGCCTGAGATCAGTCGTTGCACATCCAACGACTAAGATAAAAAAAAAAAAAAAGAAATTGAAATTTTGGTGAATTCCCGCCCAAACAAAACACAGCTCTGTGAGGTTATACATTCACTCTCACTCTCACTCTCACTTTCACTCAGCCTCACAGTCACTTGTGCTTGTCCACCGAACCCACCCTCACTGGTGAACCGGCGACTAGTCCCGACAACGACCCAGACGGCGAACCCATTCGTAACCCCGCGACGACCACCATCGGTTGAGCAAAGAAATTTCTTGATGAACCAGGTTGGTCTTCGAACGTCTGAAATTAAGAAGTTAGGATTGTGTGATTGAGATTGAGATTTGGGTTTGGAATTGAGCTTGAGAAGTTAGGGTTCTATGAACGTCTGAAAAAATTTAGGGCTTTTAGATTTGGAATTTCAAAATTAGGGCTTTGATTTGGGATTCCAACGGCTAAAAATTTAGGGCTTTGAAACGTCTGAAAAAAATTTAGGGCTTTGATTTGAGATTCCAAAGGCTAAAAATTTAGGGCTTTTAGATTTGGAGTTTCAAAATTAGGACTTTGATTTGGGATTCCAACGGCTAAAAATTTAGGGCTTTGAAATGTCTAAAAAAATTTAGGGCTTTTAGATTTGGAATTTTAAAATTAGGGCTTTGATTTGGGTTTTTTCTTTTTCTTCTTATTTATTCCAGAGACAACTAATTCATGGAAATATGATACGAAATATGAACAATCTGAATACCAATTCTTTAAATCAGTAGGCAATTTTTGATAAATCAGTAGCCAATTCATGAAATATGCTCCCTGTTTTTGATAAATCAGTAGCCATTTTTTGATGAATCAGTAGCCAATGACTGAGATATGCTCCCTGTTTTTGATGAATCAATAGCCAATTTTTGATAAATCAGTAGTCAATTCATGAAATATGCTCCCTGTTTTGGATGAATCGGTAGGCAATTTTATTTATTTTTTAGCTCATTACTTAATGGCCTCAAATTTGAACAATCTGAATACCACTTGAACAGTGTTGATGTTTACTCCTCAAGTTGCAATGTGGACCAATAGACAAAATAATGTAGACAGAAACCTTGTAACTCATTCTCAACCTTTTCTTAAATGTACCTACATTGCCAAAATAATGTAGACAGAAAAATTACAGAGAATTTAGCAAGTTTAAGCCAAGTAGTAGAAATCAACTAGTTGTAGAAATGGTAACACTTATCTCAATCTCAAACTAGTTGTAGAAATCAACTTTTTTACGCAAGTTTAAGCCACATGTTGACTTTGTTCCTTATGAAAATTACATTTCACTGCTGAAATGGAGTATAGAACAACTTCCATTAGCACCAAGTTAACCACACTTCACTGCTGAGCTACATTGTTAACCACAGTGTTGGTGATTCTGTTTTCAAGCTGAACTACACTTCAATGCTGAACTACATTCTGTTTTCAAGTTGAAATTCAATTGATGTACACACAGTGTTGATGATTCTATACTTATCCTGAAATCCTTAATTACTCTTAATAGAGCTAAACATAATTTACACTAGTTGTTCCACATTGTTCTATTCTCATGTCTACAGATTTAAAAAATGGTTTCTTCTAACATTAGCAACATAAGATTACAACCGAGGTTGTTTAATTGTGGAAGAACCGCTGCCATACATATTGTAAGAACCAATGAGAATGGAAATCAAGGGCGTTTGTTCTTTGTTTGCCCATCAAAATATGTAAGTTTGTATTGGAAAATTTCTTCCTTTAGTAGTCACATTAATATTTCTGTTATTCAACTAACTGATTCTCATGCATTGCAGAGTAACACTCTCACTATCCATTGCAATTACTTCAAGTTCGTGGTTGAAAATGATGAAAACGTTACGTCCAGAATCCGTTCCAACAGTACAGCTTGTGATGGTATAACAGTAGAAAACTTTAACGATGTAAGGACAAGGCTTGATTACATGGAAAATCACTATGGTCGAAGGCTTCAAAGGATGGAAAATAATATCAAAGCGATGGTGTATTTCATTGTATTTTCTATCATTTTGTACTTGATGATGTAACTTTTGTACTTTATTGTATTTTGGGAAACTGAATGGAAGTTTGTACAATTTTGGGTTTTATGTACTTCATGATGTAACTTATGTTCATGGAATTAACTTAGCTATGGATTGATTTTAATTTTAATTGAATTAATTTATGAACATTATGTACTTCATTATGGTTTGATTTTTGGGAAACATTGGTTGATTACCCTTACATTGTGGCCTCAACATGTTATCTGTTATCTGTTATGGAATGAACTATGGAATGAATTTACATTGGTTGAACATGTGGCCTCAACTGGTTCTGAGTATGCCAGCAGCATGTTTATCTATTATCTGTTAACAAGTTTATCTGTTAGCATGGTTATGAGTATGTCAGCAGCATGAACTATGGCATGAATTTACATTAGTTGAACATGTGGCTTCATTATGGTTCTATATGTTACGAAGTTTATCTATTGTCTGTTAGCATGTTATGCTTCTGAGTATGGCAGCATCATGAAGTTGTATCAGAACTAAATGATAGCAGAACCAACATATTATCAGTATGGAACATTTTGGTTTAACAACAGTAGCAGCATACCATAACCAACATGTTATGGTTTTATGAGTATGGCAATAGATCCAGCAGCTCCTGCAGATCCAACTTTGGTACCAATATGTTATGGTTCTAGCAGCAGATCCAGCATACCAGAACCACATGACAATAAAACCAGCAGAACATATAACAGCATCATACCACCAGCAGAACTAGATAACAGTATCATATAACCAGCATACCAGAAGCAATACAACAGAATATCAAACATGGACACCAATACAAGTTAAATATAGTTGTAGCAGAATCAAAAAATAGACAGCATCACAACAGATGGGATAATGTTTCTAACAAATGAAAAAGCTGAGTAAATGAACATCAACTGTAAATTAACATCAACTGTAAATGAACATCAAGTGAAGTTTGCTCAGTTTGCTTTGAACACGCATACAAGCCATTAACATTTGAACACATATTTGCTTTGAACACACATACAAGTTTGCTCAGTTTGCTTCACAGTTTGCTTTGAACACACATACAAGCCATTAACATTTGAACACATATTCCTTCACATCACTTTCCAGCAGCAGTTTGCTTCACAATTTCAAAGGCTATGACTTTACTTTCCAACCCAATTTCAGCATCAATTTGCTTATGTTTCTGCTTGTCCATAGCCTAAAAGGGAAAAAGACAGAATTTTGAGCAAGTAAATACATGCTATCACAGAATTTTCATCAACTAAAAACCCAAATTTTTCAGCAACTATAAATTAAAAAGACAGCAAGGACGAACCTGACTACACATTGGACTAGTTGATTCTTAAGAATATAGAAACCCAATGTCACATCCACATGAACCTTGAAGTAGTGACTGGAATGTTGGTTGAGCAGAATACTGTTGAGGCATTGAATTTGGCAAAGAATTTGGCATTACATACATCTCCCGCAAATTGTTCACCTACAACAATGTCATATATTAAGCTTCGCAATCATGGTTTGAGTCATATATTATATCCACACAAAAAATACAATGTTAAACTAACACTTACATGATATGCGAGATACATCAATGGCAGATGAATAGAATTACCACCCATGGGCAAAGATGGATAAAGGGGAGGAAGATGTTGAAGAGGAGGAACATGTTGACGAACATAGATATCTCCTTCAACAGATAATAGAGAAAGTGTAACTATTGGATTTGCAATAGATTGTGACGAAGCCAAGCTGTTAGCATGGGATTTTTTTTTGGAGTTCACTACCAACGCCGCTTCAAATCCACATTTTACCCTCCTTTTGCCCTTACTAGTTGCCGCCTTTTTCTTCAATCCTTTTGGTTGCACAACATGATTCACATCTTCGCAATCCACTTCAAAGATTTGGGTGTCATCATCATTACTGTAACAACCCTCATACTGTTTACTGATTAATGACTGATTGATTACCGATAATCACCGATTACTATTAAACGGAACTGATAATGACTGATAACTGACTGAGAATTGAACTGATTAAAGTACTGAACTGACTGACCGAAATAATACAAAAATCATAAGTTTCTTCAGTTTCAGCAGCTCTACTTGCTAGTGCTCTAAATGCGGTCATCAATGTCTTATACCGCGAGACTTGTTGGAATTTCACATCTACTTGAATGTCATTTCCCTTAATGTCTTTCACAGTTTCGGTTCTTGCTTGTTTGGTCCACCTCTTTAGAATGTATTGTGGAGGAACCTCTTTCATCTTCAATGTCTCTAATAACCTTCAACAAATGACAACACAAGATTCATTCCCTTTAAAACTTCGTACAATTACAACCCAAAGAACCATCCCTCTCCATCTTCACTTTCCTTGCATGTTTGTTACCAACATCAACAACTGTGTAAATGGTACTAGTCTCGCCATATTCAATTGGTTCTATGTCCGATTCAATGGATCGAAAGTACTTATTTTGAAATTCCTCAAAGATCTTTTTTGTGTAGACATTACCCATTTGAATTAACATTCTTATTGCTGCTTTCACCTTTGGCAACCTTTGGCACAAAACATATCCTGCTTCTAACTCCTTGTATCGCTTCTCGCAAAGTACCCTTTCAAAACGCATGAAGAATTCATTTAAGTTAAAATCAGAATGAATGTAATCCTGCAAAAAAACATTAGAAGATTCACTAAGTTGTGTGGTACTCATTCCCGCAGCCCATGTTGATCTAACATATGGCCAGCCCCATTTTTCTTTCACCACAAAAGTCAATTTCAACCAGTGGTTTTCATGCGCATCATATTTATCAAGCATTTCCGCCCACTCTAACTTCCATTGATTGGCATCTTCAATGTCAAAGAAGAATTTATTTAGTACACTCTTTACCCCCTTATCTTGGAACAAACAATTAACATGTTTTAATGCATTTTGCATCAAATGCCAAGTACACAATCGGTGACTTGTGTCAGGCATAACGATGGGTATGGCTTTAGCCATTGCAGCATCTTAATCGGTGAACAATGTTTTTGGTGCCTTTCTTGAAATAGTCTCTAGAAAATTTTCAAACAACCATACAAACGATTCGGCGGTCTCATCATACAACAATGCTGCACCAAATATAACTGTTTTCCTCTGATGGTTGAATCCCACAAAAGATGCAAAGGGTCTATGTTCTTTGTTTAACTTGTAAGTCGTATCAAATGTGACAACATCACCAAATTGGGCAATCCATGATCATTTGTGCATCGGCCCAAAACATATTGGTTATTTGTACCTCATTATCTAATTGAAAAGCATAAAAGAATGAAGGATTCTGCAAATATTTTTCTTTAAAGTATTGCAACACATTGCCTACTTCCCCATATGCTAAACTTTGTTGTCTTTTGGTTCTCAAATAATTTTTTTGATCTAATTTCGTAAACCCAAGACATTGCCTGCCACTAGCTTCCCTATCCATGAGTTCAAAAGACTGGCCTAAACGAAGACCAGATTGTGCCGCCAAATCTAACTCAATTGCTTGGGTAGTCGATATCTTTCTTTGTGACGGCAACATGTGGGCACACTCGGGTGATACAAGATCATGGTTGTGTTTTTCTTTGAAATCAGTCACAACAAATTTCCCAGTACCCTCATCTAATTTAATATAAAGTCAAGCCTCACAACCAGTCCTAGTTTCAGCTCTAGGGTTTTTTGCCAATGGGTCTCACTTGTTAACCTTTCGAAATCCCTCATTGTTGCAAACCAAAAGTCTACAAATAAGTTGGTTAGTGAACTTATTCTTCCTATAATAATCCCTTCTTATGCTAAATCTCATTCTTCCTCCATATGTATTATAAAAATCATACGCACATTGTTTAGAATCAAATGTCATTCCCTGTTTTGGCTTCCAAGCACAATCATTCTGAGGTTCCATATCCATATCAAAATGCAACTGAAAACCCATATAAATAAAATTTTTGCTACATAAATTAAATCTTTATTTTAGACACAAAAAAACATAATTTTAGTTTGAAAAAATATTCCAGCCATAAAAACTTAGAGACTAAGTTCAATTTTAAAAAATTCCAAACACACATTTTTGGGAAGAGGATATGTTTCAAGCTCAATCAAACATAATCAATAATCCATTACACAGATAGAGATGGACAAATAATCTTGTCAATTATTAGAGACATTATTTTGTCAAATAATCTGGTCAGTTTGAGCTTCAAATTGAAATTGCTTTATTAGAGACATTATTTGAGCTTAACAATGGGTTCAGCTTAGCAGAAAATTAGCTTAACCCATTTAGCAAATTAGCAATTTGTTTAACCCATTTCTCCTCATTATTAACAACCTCGCTATTTGCTAATTTGTGATTAACAAAAAATGAGGGCAAACCAAATAATGAGGTTGTTAATTTTTTGTTAGACAGAGACAAATGGGTTCAGTTTGAAGCTCAAATAATGGGTTCAGTTGGACAGTATTGTATGTATGTTTGAGCTCAAATAATCTTGTCAATTAACAAATAATCTTGACGACAGAGACAAACTTATCAGACTAAGTTCAGTTGAAGCTCAAATAATAAATTACACAGTGTGAGGCAATGAAGAAGACTAACCTCTGGTTTGCGAAGTGAGGGTAGATAGAATGACGGCAAACCAATGGGTTCGGCTTGGGGAGTGCTGTAGAGAGGGTCTGCCGGTGCGACGGGCTCGGTGAGGTGGAGGAGAAGAACTTGACGGCTTTGGTTTGCCAAGGACCCATCCAGACAGAATCTGTATCGATTTGAGATTGGGTTACCGTCGTCGAATCTATAACGACGTCGAGAGTGGGTCGCCGGTGAGGGTGGGTTCCACGGAGGAGAAGGGGTGAGTGTAGGCTGTGTGAGAGGAGTGCACATAACCTCTGTATCTGTTTAACCTCACAGAGATGTGTTTTGTTTGGGCGGGAATTCACCAAAAATTCAATTTCTTTTTTTTTTTATCTCAGTCGTTGGATCCGTTACAAGAAGGATATGGAGGAGGCTTCTTAAGGAGGGGATCCAGACTCATACAGATATCATTCGTCGGCGACTTCTACGGCCTTGGATTCTTCAGATTGGTTTTGCAAAACCTCATTAGCAGAGAGGGTGGGAATGAATTAATACAGCAATAGAGAAAAAAATGACGAGGATACAAGTGAGCTTGGTTAAAATTTAATGGGACTTGAAAGTTTAAAAATTTTTAATTATGACTTAATGGAGTATAAGTTCATAAATTAGGAGTTGAATGTAAATGTCTCTTAAAATAGTTACAAAAAGATAAAATAGGTTAAAAATTCAATAAGATAAAATATTATATTTAAACCACAATTGTTTCATTTTTTCTCCCACAAAAGTCAAAAAAGTCAAAAAAATTTATCCCAAACGAAACTTTTTAACTCGGACTAAAATAGTCAAAAAGTCAAAACCAATTCACATCGGCTAAAAAGTTTTATTTGGGATAGATTTTTTTGACTTTTGTGAGAAAAAAATAAAATAATTATGATTTAGATGTGATAATTTGTCTTATTTAACTAAAATAGTCAATTTTATCTTATATGACTATTTTAACCTAAATGGACATGCCAAATAGCCTTAATCTTTGATTTTTTTTTTTTTGGACTAAAAAAAAAAAAAAAGGAAAAACGAAGAAACTAGAAAACAGTTTTTAATAATCAAACAAACAAGATGATTTACGTGAAAGCTACTTTTTATTATTTGATTCAGAGTCTAAGCTGTGATGAGGTTGTCTCCCGTAACACTTCTCTCCGTATAAATCAATCAATCTCAAATCTCTATCTCAAATAATTGATATCAAGGCTTGCTTACCACCCACTTGACCATTTGTTTAATTTATCAATCTAAAATGCTATTATTGGGTAAATTACGTTAAACCCTTTTAAATTATGATTAATTTACATTTTATACTCCAAATTTTAGAACTCTATTGGTAAAGTATTATTTTATTATGGTTAATTCTTATTATTAAAATATGTTAAGAATTTATTGAAAATTAAATCATGTGTAAAATACATGACGCATTTATTAAATTTTTAAGACAATAATACCCTTATCAAATATCTCGTTTGCATTTTATTACTAAGATAAGAAAGACACGTGCAAATATAATTACTAGATAAAAGTATTATTATTTTAAAGCAATCAATAATAGGTATTATTCTCAAAATTCAATAAATGTGCTATATATTTTATACATTATCTGATTTTTTTAAAAAAAATTAACAGAATCTAATAAAAAGGATTAATTGAGATAAAATAATACTTTGAGAGAATTAACCGTTGAGTTTTGAAATTTAAGAAAACAAAGTGCAAAGAGTCATAATTTAAGGGAGTTTATTATAATTTACCCATTATTATTCTATTCATTTCTTGGTAATAATGAATATCATGACGTTGTCAAAAAAAAATTAATAATTGTTTTTATGATTAATTACTTGATTTTAGTGTTTAGAATAAAGTTATTTCTATCTGGCAATCAAATTGATGTTTTTATCTTCTTGTGGCGGCTGCGAGATTTGTGTTTCAGCAATGGTTGGTGGCCCGAAAATTCATGTCTCGAATGGCTCGAAACACCCAAAATAACGTCGTTTTAGGTTCAAAATGACGTCGTCTTGCCATATTCGGACTATTTGAGCCACAGAATTCGAGCCACCAAACATTATTCTTTGTGTTTTGTGGTTCCTAATATTTTACTTATTCTACTTATGTTCCATTTAGTTCACATTATTTTCTTATATTTTCAATAATACTTTGAGAGAATTAACTATTGAGTTTTGAAATTTAAGAAAACAAAGTGCAACGAGTCATAATTTAAGGGAGTTTATTATAATTTACCCATTATTATTCTATTCATTTCTTGGTAATAATGAATATCATGACGTTGTCAAAGAAAAATTAATAATTGTTTTTATAATTAATTACTTGATTTTAGTGTTTAGAATAAAATTATTTCTATCTGGCAATCAAATTGATGTTTTTATCTTCTTGTGGCGGCTGTGAGATATGTGTTTCGGCAATAGTTAGTAGTCCGAAAATACATGGCTTGAATGGCTCGAATCATACAAAATAATGTCGTTTTGGATGCAAAATGACATCATTTTACCATATTCGGACCATTCGAACCACAAAATTCGGCCACCAAACGTTATTCTTTGTGTTTTGTGGTTCCTCATTTCTATCCGTCCACTTCAGTGTTGATTGTGATAGCTTACCAACCGTCCGATTTAGGGAATTAGAGGAAACAATGACTGTCTCCACACACAAAAAGGAAAAACATTAATATAGCCCCCAAAATATATATATATATATATATAAGAAGAAAAGGAAAAACATGAACACAATAAGGTCCTTCAGTCAGTTTATTGTTTATTTTTGATAAAAAACAAAAATAAAATGGAACAATTGTTTTAAAAAAATACAATTTATTAGTATTTTCAAAAAAATAATTACAAATTTACAAAAAAGAATTATGTCCTAATTATTCATATTTATAAAATTTATCACTGATTTGAATTATTTTGGTAAACTTACATTGAATTATGATCTTTTAAAAAAAATTATTTTGAAAACAAAAGGGTTTTTTTTTTTCTTTGAACCACAAAAACAAAAGGGTTGGCTGAAGATGATTATTGATACTGAGATGGTAGTTAAAGGTGATTCAACATTTTAGCGGATTTTAAAAAACTCATAAAAACTAAACTATCATGAAAAACCAAACCTAATGGTTCTGTTTGGGAATTTTCAAATAAGTTACTTTGCAAAAAAAATTTCTCTTTAGTAACCTCATTTTTTACATTTTTGATCCATTTTGTGTACACGAATCTACAAAAGTAAATTTTTAATAAAAAATTCAGAAAAAAAAAAGAAAGAGCCAAAATAAGCTTAAAAAATTCACTATTTTGGACCTATTTTTGCCTTTTAAATTTTTTTCTATAATTTTATAAATTTTCAATTCGTTTTATCAAATAAAATGTAA